GGTTGGGCTTGACCTGGTATGTCAGAGGATCAGTTGAAGGTGTGCCCACATCAGAAGTATTGTAGCTCTGCCCAAGACGATTATTGTGTGATCACTCACCGTTCAAGAACATTCTCTACCATGAATCACTTAACAGAAATTTCCATTAAGCCAGATATTACTCAAACCTTAACCGTGAGATGGCAGACAGGTTACCCAAGGTACAAACGAGAGCAGAAAAATTAGATTTTGATTTATTGGATTCATTACAAAATTGACAAAAAAATAGATGAACATTTCAAATGAATTTGTGTCATTGCTCTATTATGCAGGAATCCTGATTTGTGATCCTCATTATCCAGTTGTAACTACCTTCAGAATTTTATGGAGAATATGTGATCTCATAGAAATAAAGAAGAGAAATAGATTGAGCTCAATTGAACCAATCTCATTGCATAATAAAGGCAAGTGTATTTTTATAGCACATTTCAACAACAAGGCATTTAAAGTGCTTCACTTAAAACCATTAAAAGAATCAAACCATAAGGAAAAAGAAAAGGACATTTAAAAACAATTAAGAACATTGATTGAAACATTAAAACATACATTAAAACAATAAACAAGCTAAAAATAGAATAAAAGTTGCAGTGCATTAGAAGTAAATTACATTAGAAGATTGTCAACGAGAGGCAACCGCAAACTTTTCGAAGACTGGAAAGTCTTCTGTTTTAATTTGAAGCAGCTGAGAGTCTCAGCAGACCTGAAGCTTTCTGGGAGTTTGTTCCAGATATGTGGAGCAGAGAAACTGAACGCTTCTGCTCCATGTTTGATTATGACTCTTGGACCAGAAAGGAAATCCGTCCCAGACGACTTCATTCTTCGTGGCGGTTCGTGAGGTATCAGCAGATCATGTATGTATATTGGCCCTGAACAATTCAGTGCTTTATACACCAACAGTAGGATTTTAAATGAGATGACTTGTTGGATAGGAACTGGAGTGATCCACTTTCTCGGCCTTAGTGATGACTCGAGCTGCAGCTGCAGTCATCTCATTACGAAGATTCCATTTGTCCAAATCCTGTTGAGACATAAATCCTCAAATCCTTAATATGTTCTCCCGTGATAAAGATTTGTAATTTGCACATGCAGTTTTAAATTTGTTCAATGCATTTATCCAACCTTTGAATGAAATGGAAGTCCCCCGGCAATATAGTTATGTAGATTAATACTAAACTCTCAAAGTGCATGCAAAAGATGTGACAATATCTAACTACTAAGTTCTCAAGTGTGCAGCCTCAAGAACAGATACGAGAAAAGAAAGCTACTTAAAACAACAATCATCTGTAAGCCTAACCCTTTCAATGGAATTCTGATATTCTCTGCCTCCCCAAACGCTGTCAATATGAATTTAAAGACAATGTTTCATTCGTGCATCTAGTGAACCTTCACTAGACACACCGTTTCTCAGCATTGAGATGCTACACACGTAACGTACTACTGCCGGTCACTGCCGGACGCTGAGGCGTCTTGGTCAGGAGCGGTTTGACACTTATTCTTCAGGGGAGGGAGACGCTCGTTAAGTTAGCTTTCCCACCCAGATGCCATGTGCTGAAATTAGCTCTTTTAGCGCTGCAGTCACCACCCTGTTAGCTATGCCAAACCCGGCTGTCCACCATGCCACTAATCCCGCAAATCCCAAACCCAGTTTCACACAGGCGTCTGGCGAACACACTGAAAAACAGACGTCTCAGAGAAGGTTGAATTCACTTCATTGATTGACTGAGTTTGAAAAATCCTGCAGTAGGAAACAACACTTCAGTAAGTCTCCCGTTGGGGTACAAACTAATGTTCTGTGGTGTAGTTTTATTGGTTTGTAGTACAGTTTAACACACACAGCAGCCATTACGTGATCCAGGCCACACAGCTTCTGCCAGCTTTTACAGTACAAAGCCCTCGTTTCACCACCTATTAGCCTACACAAGCTAACTTTACCTTCAATTATTGTGAATTACAAGCTATCATGCCTGTCAGAGCCAACTCCGGACATTATGGTCCCACAACAAACTGCCAATTATTAAAGCTGAGGCATTGGAAGCATTGTTTTTGGTTGCATAAGCACAAAAAAGCAAAAAAAAATCCTTTGCATTATTGTGCGCTATGTTTGTGTATTCAAACAGGCCTTGCTACACTATTTTCTGCCAAGTTTGTCATTCTTGAGAAATAAACATGTTTAGAAAAATTAGGAGAAGGAAAAGCAGAATATGACTGAAAACAGAAAGAGGGCAGAGACATAAAGGTGTTTCAAATTGTTGACCTAGTTTTGTTGAGGTATTTGTGAAATTATGTCAGAACTGGCATAACATCACAAGAGCCGCTAGCATGACTGAAAACATATTTGTGAACACAATAGGATAAAAAATGTATCTTAAAATTTACACAAGATTTTGTCTTATTTATGCTTGCCTGTCATCCTTATAAAGCCAGCGTGGACAATATTTTTGAGAATTGTACATTTTCCATTCTGGCCATCCAAACACACCACTTTGCAACCAGAAAAGGATTAATAGCTACCTGCTGTGGTCCCTTGTGATTCTATTTTTCATGTGGACCATTGCAGCAAATTAGGGGATTCTAACTGCGAGACCTTTTTGCCAACCATTACCTCACCTAGCTGTTTATTTACCCCTGACACATAAGTGCTCCCCACCACTCTACCCCCCTTTGCTTAGCATTACCGAAGGAGGCCCTGGCTGGCTCACACACCAATTCATGACCAGCCTCTTCTCCTGGCTGGCCCACTCTGCCTTCCCAGCACCGAGCAACTGTTTGATTCCACTGAGACACATTCATTTATGTTCCCATCGCCTTTGAATGTGGAAATAAAGAGTTTCCAACCAGACAGGGATAGCCGAGCTGTTTTTAGAGGCATCACCAGAGCGTTGCTAATTATGGCCTGCGTTATGGCTGCATTTACACAAAGAAATCAGATTTTTTTCACTGTTCACAGCACAGATGTCATGTGACGTCTTGTTTCTTCATCTTTCCTATTTTGACAACACTTCTGTGAACAATGAGGAAAAAACGAAAATAGTTTCAATATGAATCCCCCTTGAACTTTAAGCTTGTACAGTAAGTCGATGACAAATGCCAGCATGAGTTTATATAACTGGCTCATATTACACATAATTCTATGTGTTTTCCCTGTGCCATTCATATTCTGTGTGCGGTTCAGGGAGATGACAGGATTGATGGTAAAATAATAATATTATGCAGATATACCGCACTAGGAATGAATGGAATAACCTCAAACTGTGCTTGGACTCCATGAAATGACGTGTCCAACCTACTGTACGTTTGGAAAGGATCTTGCCACCAGAGAGGCAAATTTAGGGAAATTCCCCAAATAGCTCGCTTAAATTCATGTCAATCATACTGAGAGTACATCTTTAGATGTTAAATAAAAAATCTGGATACGCTCAAGTGTCTGCGACATACAGTACATTTGTATTAAAGAATTAGGGCTTTTTCAAAGAAGATATTTGGACATGTCATAGAACAAAAGCACAGGTGTTACTAATAATATGGATGATAAATTAGTTTCTAATCAATTGTCCTCGTAAGCCATGTGGCAGGGAGGTAGAACGCAAAAGGAAGCTAGAAACTGAAGCAACCAATTATAATTCAGCAATCATTAAATGTATTTTACATATATGTCAAATTGTCTTTTGTTAAAAAAGCATCTATGACGTCCTGTATATGGGAAGGTTCATTCTCAAGATGAAATGTGAGGTACGGTGCTAAAACGCTTTCATTCAATGCACACATTCATTACAGATTATTTTCTGGGGATGAATATGAAAACTAATTTGAAACATGTGTCCTAAAATGAATCTGTCTGGACATCTGAAAATAAACGAAGCTGAAAATGTTCCATTGACTAAATAATACATTATTGCTACTGCGGCGGACTCGCTTCTGTTTAGATCATGATGGTTGGTGCACTTCAGCGTGCAACCGCCGTTACGTTGCACTGCTCTTAAAGGTTACACCTTTAAAAAGAAGCCAGGTAATCTTAAAATCAATGGTGAAACAGACAGCGGCAGGAGGTCACTGGTTGTACTGTTGCCTTCTCCCGGTGAGAAGACAAGTCTCATTTTGTTCCAAGTGCAGAGAACAACATTATTGGCGACAAAGGTCGAGGCGTTGCCTCTTAGTAAGACCCAATATTTAATCACCCACACAACCTGCTCCAAGATTTTTATTGGAAAGGGATGTAGGGATTTTAACCGATGTGAGTTGAGACATATGAGACACGGGACTCCACCATGAATAAAAACAACAGACATTTTGTTTTTTGCTGAATCTTGATTAAATCTGAGGCAATCTTCTGCTTCTAGCTTCATTTCACTGACGGTGGTGTCAGGCAGGTGTTGTGGCGATTATTCCATCCCACCTCCCTTTTCTAGCCCACGAGGTCATTTGCCATTTGGGAATGAGGGTGTACATGTCCCTGCCCTGCACACATGCTTTCAGGTCCTCCTTTAACAGAACAATATAGTATTCCCTCCATCTCTTTATGTGGTTTTGGATGACGCTTCCAAGAAAGTTGAGCATCTGGAGAGTTTGGCCGCAGTGTGACCGTCAGCCGACCGCTGCTGTGGTCTGAGAGGAGAAGACCTTGCTGAAAAGAAGGCCTCACATGGATGGAGCAGGAACAGAATTATCCTCCGGACAACCTCTGTTAAACGCCTAGAGGAGTACATTCGGTAATATAAATTTATTCCCCATTTTGTTTTCTCCATATTTATCATCTCTGAGTTGAGATTTGATTACCTTTCCTTGCATTTCTTTTTCTTAAACTAGCTAAAGTAGCACCGAACACCTAATTGCTCCCTGGGAAAAATTTTAAAAAAGCCATGGGTTACAAATGTAATGTAAGTCACTTTGGATAAAAGCCTCAGCTAAATAACCTGTAATGTAAAAGGCAACTGGAAGTCTGGGCTTCTATTAGATTTTGGGCTCTACAAAATAAAATGTATTGAGTTGAATGATATGAGGATTTGTCGGATTGCGCTGTCAAGTGCTGCTATTGACATTGTTCATATTTATGATTTTATTAAGCAAAGTAGACAGTACTTTCAAACTTATTATGTTTTACTTTATTATGTCTCCTGGTAGATGAAAACCCCCCCAAAACAGATTTTTGTGTCTAATGCAAGGGTCCAGGGAGAGAGGGTGTCGTATGCTGTACTTGTAAAGCCCTTTGAGGCAAATATGTGATATGTGATATTCCTCTCCTTATCATGTGATTATAAGAATATTAAGCCTCAGATTGTGAGACAATGTTAGTCTGCTGTAATGTTTATTTAGGGTTTGCAAGCGATCTTGACAAATGAAGGAATATGAGCTTTCTTCACTCAGTGACCTAGAACTGCATGTCAGGGTTAGAAATGTGTGACTAAAGCTCAAACATCAGTATGAACAATTACAGAGAATGTTGCCTGTTCTAACTCGGCGCACACTATTACTTACACACATTTACATTCTCCGATAAGTGTCTTTATCACCCTTTACCCCCTGACTGCACGCAAAGAACACGCGCCCACCCACACACACTCCCCGACACACACTTGCATGCAGACCGGCAGCTACAGTAATTGGCCAGTGCTGGGAAATCCTCGCGGCCGGGATGACCGTCGACTCCCGTTGACGGAGCCGGAAAACATGCTGCTGTCTGGGAGGACGCTGGCCTGTTTGTCATCCTTTCCGAGGGCCGCCGAGCACTGCGGGAGATAAACCTGTGGAAAATACTAGGTAATGAGGTAATGATGGAAAAAAGGCAACAAAGCAGAAAAGAAGTAAAGATACATATTTGATTCTTACTAACTGTGCAAATCCCAACAGTAAATATTGTTGGTAGCCAATAAGAGAGGCTGTTCCTTTAGCCTGGTAACCCTTCTTACACACAGGTAATAGGGGGCATTTTTGTTTTAAAGAATCTGGACAAATTGATGATGACAAATGCATTGTGCATGGTCTATTTTTCTCTAAAAGGGGCCAAAATATAATATATGAACATCAATCTGTATTGAAGAAGTTTTAAAAATAGCAATGTATTGACCATACACTGTTTGCTGAGGTTAGACATCTAGTGAGACACAACGTCATATTCTCATACAATTGCATTCGATCAGACCTCTTTTCGCAACCTGATGAGTCGCCCCCTGCTGGTCAGCCGAGCAAATGACACTTTTGCTGGCTTCACTTGGCAGCCCGGTTACTGCGTTCACTGGTTCAATAGCGCGTAACCTTGTTAAAAGGTGTTATTTTCGCTTACTACTTTAATTAAAAGTAGTAAAAGTATTTAGGGTTCACTATGGCGTTCAAAATGATGCTTTAAGGCCGGCGGCCAAAATCTACTTCCTCTGTCGTTATGGTTTGTGTTTTATTTTTAATCTGGTTATTTAATGGAGGTGTAACTGAGGTCAGGGGTGAGGCCTTGTAACGTACACTGTAAGTACAGTGGTTGCACAGTAAGGCCAGCTTTACTTTGGGTCAATGCCACTGCAGATTGTGGCTGGTGAGTAGGAACTTCTTTGCCACGCGCTAGCTTGGGACAGTAAACATCAGGCACAAACACACACATTCAGTGGTCCTCTCATGAAGCGAATTAGACAAACAGGGAAGCAGGCGGCTGCCTCTTGTCTGTTGACTTTCCCTGACCGTTACTTTTCCACTGCTGCCGGTAAAATAATGAAAGCTGAAAATATGTCCTTTTAATTAAACTGTTATATGAGAAGCATCCGGCAGTAGAGAATTGTCTGAAAAAACATTTTTCTAATGCTGCATTGTACTTGACATCATAAAAATCACTACTTTTACCCTGAATGTAGATTCCTTTTGGTGCATAGTTCACGGTCTGGTTCACACCAGAAGACCAAATATCACATTTCCCATCCAAAACAATACATGAGTTGTTTCAGCAACATCAACTTCGATCTCCTTTCATTACACAATGTCTTTCTCTGTGTGCTTCTGATAGGCGGTTATTCTAAAAAGCTGTTTAATATATTGAGCTGCCAGAAATCCCTTATTAGCTTGTATGTAGGAATGTGAAATCTATCTTATTTTGTACATTACAGTGCATGCCTGGGATTGTCAAGGTCAACTGGAAATATGGAAGGACTGGACTGAAGTCCATTCATTTGAACGGGGCATTTAGTGGCAAACCACAGCTAAAGAGTAGGAGTTTTTTTAAACATGAGAAAAACAGTAAATACTAGTAAACTATAGTTTCCTCCTCATTTTCTCTCTATTGTGTGGGAGCTTTCCTGGTAGCAGTTATATGAGTGTTTTCTGCTGAATGATATAAATAGTCACAATGTTTCTCATCAACAAAAACAGATGTATTGGTCAGGGAGCGTAATATTGGTTGCAGTCATAAAATTGACCCAGAACAACCTGTGCTGTAGTGATGGTGCACGGCAAATAGGTGATGCGTTACCAAAGGGACGTCAGCCTGTAGCAAATATGCAATCCATAAGATAAATGAGATGGTTCACTATAGACCAAGGTGGATGTTATAGCTGCTATCGTGGCAAAAAATCATCAAAAGGAGCGCTAATTTGAAACTCCAAAGATCCTGTGTCCTTCCTCCAGCTAAAACTAAATATAGAAGAAAGGAAAATGATGTATGATATCTATATTATATTATGGAAATCATATGTGGAAATCATCTACAGGTACAGTTGATATTTGCCCGGATAAGACATGCCTAAAATAGTGAAAAGAAATACATCATGTGCAGATGTCTCTCCTGGTGTAGTGTTTTGTTAACGTAGAGATACTTAGTGCACTTTTAGAAACGACACCTTTCCAGCAGACAAGCATGCAAACATCTCTCGAGAATAAGCCTTGTTTCATGCGTCACTCTCTCGACACCACAGTTCATAAGCCCAGCAGAGTTTCCCCTAAACCTTTTGCAGAAACCTCACCAGAGAAAACAGGCCGACCACATCAGCTGCCGTGGAAGTCCAGGGATCCCTGTGCTGTTATTTCTTCTCCCGAGGTCACATGTGACTCATTGCTTTGACTGGCCACACTTCCAACACTGGGCACAAGGTCTGCTGAAACCCTCATCCCTTTTTTCAGGCCCGTCTCTCTGTTTCGCTCTGATCCTGCTTGCCTTTGGTGCTCTCTTCAAATGCAGCCTTAATGGGATACACCACCACTTCATTTTCACTCTCCTTTCTTCTCCACTTCGTTCGAATCTGCCTCGATGCATCCACATTCTCTATCATTGCCCCACATTGATAATATAAGTATCCCGTTGAGGCTTTTTCATCAGTTAGCAAAATAAAGACTGTCCACTGTGATTTCCATCTGAGGGGCCCAGGCAGTGAGAGAGATACAATATCCTGGAACAAGAACTCTGAGGTGGACCGCAGGAAAGGGGGAGAAGAGAATAGGAGAAGGTCAAGAAACCTTTAGGAGGCAACGTTCTTCTTCTCTTCGTCTGTACAACAGGACAGAATATAATGGTGCGGTTAGTTACGGTAAGTTTCCTTAAAAAACCTTTGGCACAAAGATCACTTTAGCCTACTACCTTATAACAAGAACTAAAAAAGTAGTAATAAAACTATAATTTTAGTTGGATGACGTTTGTTGCATTTCTAAACATCAATGTTTCATTGCCGCCATGGAAACCAACTTCCTCCTTCAGATGGGCAACTACTTTCCCTTGTGAGCTAATTAAAGAATTATCATGTTATCCAGTTTTGTCGTTGTGGAATTATGCGCCTGAGTGTAAAATGTTTATTTTAATCTTTTCTTGGGACGAAAGCACCAGATGACTGAAAATGGTTCTGTTTGCAATGTCTTAACAAATGTAATGCCACTAGGAAGTAGAAACATGGGATCACATATGCACATATATGATGGGTATTGTCTCCAAATAGGTTTGTAATGCCCTAATCACATTAGTGACCAAGCAGTACTTGTAGACAGACCTGCTGGTTACTGGCCAGTAACATTATGCTTGGGACAATGAAAAAATGTAACAAGTCAAGCCAACTTTTCATAATGGGGCCAAAAAAACGTTCTCTTTGCGAGCTCCAAACATCATGTACTTCTACAATGTCAGTGGAACAAAGTCACTCACGTTAAATGGCCTCCAACCTGTCACCATTGTAGCCTTACAGAAGATTTATAATCCAGCATTGAAAACGAGACTATGAAACTAATAATCCAACGTAATTTCTTTTGTGGTTAATTCTCTTTTTTCATTCGTCAAAAGTACTTTCGTGTTCTTTAGCTGTAAGTTGGAGCTCACCAAAATCAAGCTTTACCTGTTCTTGAGTTGCAATATTCTGTATTTCTGTAATTCTATATATTTTTTTGTCGCTTAGGTAACCATCAACACAACAGTTATCAGTTCCCTTTTTCATTAATTTGTTTATGTAAAGAAGCGGGACATTAATATATGCGGTACAGGTAAATACCCACGCAATGAGAGGAAGTACATTAACACACACATTGTGGCTAATACGCATTTAGCACAGATCTGAATAAATATAGACTATAAAATCTCCTATCTGCCTGTAGTATGCAAACAAATGGAAAAAGCACAACAAAGAACAAATCTCAACATCTTTGCAGTTGACCAGTTTTATGCCTGATAGACAGAGAGTCTATTATCTATTATTATCGATAGATACGTACGCGGTACACACACGCAGTGGCTGAAGCGACACTTGTCCTTAAATAAGTTTTGACTAGAAATTCAAACTAGGTCAAAAAGTAGTATTAAGTTGACGCGCAAAGAGGAGCCACCGATTCATGGACATAATAAGTCAGCAAGTAGCTTTCTATTAATTTAAAAGCTGGCCTCTGTAGGATCGCCCGCTTTTTTCCTGTACGCGCCTCGGTGCACTCAGTACATGCCTCAGCTCGTGTGCAGCTGTTCCACGTGTACGCGTGTTGGAGAGGGTGGACTTCCAGTTTCCGCTTAACCATTGTTGCGGTGTCCCCCAACCTCGACGCTGAAAGCTGGTGTGTATTTTTTTGCATCAGTCCCCGTGTGTGTTTTAAGTCATTCTGTGGTGAGTTCTGACCTCACCACTAAAGACTTTCCTCACATGCCTCGGAGAACGGTAGGCGTTTATTGTCAGTGCTTACGCTCGGACCTTGAGCTTCTACGTCAGGCAAGCGGCTAGAAGAATGGAAAAAAAGGCCTTTGACATCAGAGGTCTTGTATCAGCATCATATGTCACAATCACAGAGTGAGAGTGCCCTTTTGTTGTTATGCGAGTTATCCAGTGCCCACCATTCATTTAACCTCAGCGGGGGAGTTTCTCCTTGGCTGCAAAGTTGTACCGTAGATTAAACCTTAAATTAGTTTTTGAAATGTTTATTTAAGATGTAAAACAGAAGTTGGCAGAGCAAGAAGACGTGTCCAACATGTTTCAAACCGGACATGTGGCAGGCAAATGTCTTTGGATAAGCCCATTAGAATTAAAAATGGATAAATCATTGCCTGTGTGTATTGTTTTAAATACCCAGCATGTAAAAACGTGTTTGAGATACTGGCTTTTCTGAGAGAGAAAAAAGAACTGAGACCTGAGGTCCGCTTTCTTACTTACTCAGCATATGGATTTTGTAGAACAAATTGTCGTTGCATGACCTTGAATTATTGAACTTGAATCTTGATTTATTGAATCGCTTTCTTATTGTATTTCTGTGTTTGTGAAGCAACAAAACATATGAATGTTCTTCTAATAAATCA